TGAACCGAAGATAAAACGAGTCCTAGATGAGTTGACTTTTCTTTGATTTCTTGAATTGACAAAAAATAAATAACTTCGACGATAACATTTTAACTTAAATAATCTCAATCAAATATAGCACAGGGAACTCGTAAAGGGAAAAATAATTAAAAAATTACTAGAAAACAATTAGAATAAATTAATAATTCTGAACGCAAGTAACGCAGTCTCAAGTTTACAGGAAAGAGAGTGAGTGACTTAGTGAGTGGTAGATTCGTCCCCTTCAAATAACTCTTCGATTGCTTCGTAATCTTCGAGTTAACCTAATTATCAGATCTTCGAGGGAGAATGGGGAGGAGGGACCCTGATACTCAGATTAAGCCAGATGAAGTAAGAAGTGGTTACCAGCAAGGTAATGACACTCTCAGAAATAATAATTTTTCCAATTTGCTAGTTGATAGTGATTAAAAGAGAAATATAAACTAATATAAGTATGAGTTTAACTAGAGTGATTTCTGTCGACCTTTCCGCTACAACCGTCCAGTGAAACTGATGGATATCTTACGCTATTCCTTACTAGTTTGCAAGAACAAAGAAATAGTGCTAACTATCTGCGTAATTATTCTTTCGCACTCGCCTTTCAAATATGTACACTTAGTCTAGTGAATCAAGATGTACTAACAAATTCAAGGTTTAGTATTTCGTATGTGACGCTTGTTTTCCACTGGCAGTAGTTGTTTTACGGGATCAAAGAATTGTATGTCATTGGTGTGAGTTCCCTGTGCTTTTTAGGTTTGTGCTCCCTTTAGCGAATCCATGCCACATATGGAAACAAACAAAATGGCCGATTGTTGAGAAGTGTTTTCGCTATAATATCTGCAAGTGTCAGACGATTTCAAGCTTTATAAGTCGAGAAAATCGACAAAAACCATTCCTATCGTACTTCCAAATAAGGTAAGATTACCATATATGGCTGCTAAACGAAGGGCAACTTTTGTTGGGCAATTCTTTGATATAGCTTCGATGTATAGACAGTGATTAAATTAAAGGCCCATCTCCCCGACACAACTTTTGCCTACAACCATCGCATGAAACCTGCATAGGTCATGGCTGCAAAAGTTAAATTCCCACGACGGTTGTAGCCATGTTGTAAGGATGACTTACGCAGGTTGCATGCGAAGTTTGTAGTCAAAAGTTGTGCCGGAGTGTACCTAAAAGTCGAGGTTAGAGGGTAAAACGTCGAGGGTGAGAGCAAAAAGTCGAGGGTCTTAGATAAAATATCTTTCTTATGTGGCTTACTCAGAAATACATCGATTCTCGAAACAATAAGGGAAACACAATTGGTAGTTTAGAAAAGTAAAACAACAACTAGCAATTCAAGCCGATTTTCAACTTCTTTTAATTTTCTTTATTTTCTTGACATGCATTCGCCTCGTTTCCGCGTTGATATATATTTTAAATTTYTTTATATTTTAACTTTTTAAATAATTCAATGTAAAAAATGCCAACTGGATGATTCAAGTTTCATATTTATTCTGTTCAATAACAGTACGGATAGTGGATGTTAGGACGTTTCTCGAAATGTTGCGACGATATACTGACGATATTTGATTAAAACGTATGGTGGAATGGGTATGGTATGGGGGGGATATGGTATGGGGATGGGTGGAATGTGTATTGGGGGTGGGAGTGGAGTGGGAGTGGAATGGGTATGGGGGGGGGGGGGGGGGGGGGGGGGGGGGTTAGGACACTTGGAACCCGGAATCCCGTCGCATGCACGTCATATTGTTGTTAAACTACTTGAAAGTTTAGTTTGGTACATTAATTTTATCATTGAGTAGTTCTCATACGCTCCCGAAAAGTACAGTAAACTTATGAAACAGCACGAGCACTCGGCGATGCGTTAAGTTACAGTTCCATGCGCCATCTTGAAAGGTAACCAAGTCTTTGCATCAAAACGAGACAGGAGTTGAACCTGCAGTGATAGGTAGATACCTTTTGTTCACACCTAAGGACAATTATTCACAGGTATCTATCATTACAAGTTCAACTTCTGTCTAGCTTTAATGCAAAGACTTGGTCACCTTTCAAGATGGCGGTTGGAACTGCAAAATGTAGTATTCCAAAACCCGAAATTAAAAATAAAATTTATGTGTACAGCTCAACTCAATACATGCAAAATAAATGCAGGGTTAAATGCAACATTTAGTAAGGCTATTGATTGCTTGGTGGCATCTCCTGTTCAGACCAAGTTGTCTTTCTGATAATTTCCTATAAATATATAAAAACAAACAACGACTGTTAATTTTACAAGGTCATCCCTTGCGAGCGTAGTCGCCATATTAAGAGGTGATACTTACCCTCTTCATATATTCATGGGGTGACTGTTTTTCTTCCCTAAAGTAACTAGAATTGATAATACAGTAATCGTTGAGCTGAAGGAGGTTTCAGTAATTTCCTGACTAATAAGTGGCCGCCAATCTTGAATTCTATAGTTTTCGATTCAATAGAAACTATGAGATCTAACTTTTTCTTCCTGGACATCCCATAATTTCTTCATAACTCAAGAAGGCGGCCTTAATAGCAATAATATGGTGGTAAGTATTATAAGCCAAATTGCCTCTCGAACTCGATTGTTTTCGATATCACAAAATGCGAATTCAGTGTTTGTTTTGCATTAAACGCCCTGAACACCATGCCTAAACACGGTGAAAGATGGGAAGCACTAAGAAGCAATATAGAAACAGGCGCTGCTCTCGTATTCCTAGGTTTGCTTCTCTTATGCTTGATCCGTCTCTCACTGTCTTAATCTATATACCATGCAGAGAGCAGAGATATATTTACGCATATGTTTAACCGTTTATATCTCTCAAATACAAAACTAAAGGTTGTTCTCTCATTCCTCAAGATTGAAGGTGTTTCGTTCATGCATGACGATAGAGTAAAATATAAAGATAATTTCAATAAAATCGTTTTGGTCACCTTGCAGATGGGTGTTCGTCTAAGCTCATGACAGCATGGTCCCCACCACGTGATTTAGGCATTTGCACGTCTGTTTTCCATGGATCCCCGCTGACACGACGTCTCAAGTGTACAACGTCCGTACCTTGGCTATTATCAGCTTTGACTATGTGGCCAGTTGGTTGCACTTCGGTGATTGTGCGACTTGTAACGGAGAGATTTCGTACGGAATGACTGCTTCCACGTCGATCCATCTGAGCCCCATCCTTTTGGTCAGCACCTGATTGACGTCGAATCTGTACATTGGGCTGTCCTTCGGTTGTATGACTGGACACTAAAACATTTGTAACAGAGTGGCCACTTCCTCTCCTCTCCATGGGACCCCCAACAACTTTATCACTGCTTGAACGACGGCTTTGGATAACATTTGTGTTGCCCTCACTGGTTCGGCGAGTAACTGAAAGATTTGTCACCGAATGTCCGCTTCCCCTTCTCCTGTCGAGTGCTTTTTCATCGCTGGGACGGCGCCCCATTTGAACAGCATTAGGCTTGTCCTCGCTTGTCCGACTGATCACTGATAGATTTTTCACAGAGAGACCACTCCCTCGACGTTCTGAAGGTACTGTATTTAAAGGGTCCCCGCTAGAGCGACGGACCATTTGRACAACACTGGGCTGGCTTTCACTTGCTCGGCTGGTAACTGATAAGTTTGTTACAGAGTGACCACTTCCTCTTCGATCTAAAGGAACTGAATCGAGGAGCTCTGCGCTGGAACGACGGTCAAGTACCCGTCTTTCGACAACGTGGGTTTCTCTTTTATGCCTTTCTACAGGGACAGTATTGAAAGGGTCTCCGCTTGAACGACGATTAAGTACCCTGTCATCTGTAACATGGGTTTCCTTAGTATACCTTTCTACAGGGACAGTATTGAAGGGGTCTCCGCTTGAACGACGATCGAGTATCCTATTTTCCATCACGTGAGTTTCTTTGTGTTTTACGACAGGGGCAGCATGGAAAAGGTCTTCACTAGGACCATGAATCATGTGTACTTTCGCTTGGCTGTCACTAACGCTACTCTTTAATGGAAGATGATGTTGTACGGGGTTACTTGTCTCCGTTCGATATGTTTTGTGGGTCTTTTCGACTTTGGTCTGTCTGATATGCTGAAATTTCAATCAGAAGTTTTGATTACTAAAAAAACAAATGACAAACCAATTAATCTCCTGATACTTGTTCGTCGCTCCCAGAGTCTTACCTGGCCAGGAACCTTCTGGCTTTTTGAATGTTCGATAACTGCGTATCCATTACCTTCAGGAGACTTACTACCTCCACGTAATGGAACAACAACTTGGCTTCCACCGGACCTTTTATTTAAATTACCACTCTATGAAAATGAACATAGATCGTGTTTACATTTCCGTATTATACACTAAATGACAAATTCCGAGTGAAACTTTTGCTTCAAAGAATCTCAAAGTTTCCCGCTGCAAGACTTGACAATCTCCATTTTGGTAGGTTTCATTTCGAAAATAAGAATAATAACTAGAACAACAGACTTCTCTGCCTCTACTCAACTTATCGCGACGCGCGCGAGTGGCGTCATGTACATTGCCTCCAAACGATCAAAAATTTGCCAAAATGTTTCGGGCTTGCTCAACACTTGATTTTATCTAGTGGCGCGTGACTGTGAAACGTCCAGTGAAAGAACGTGGAAACTTATGAGGTAATTTAGTTTTGTAGCAATACGTTATGCTTACTTCTTGTCTACGCAATATTAAATTCATGTATATATGTTAACATTACATTTACATTATCTTTATGGAAATTTTCTTTGTTGCTTACTTTGCCTTTCACAATGTCGGCGCCATTTTGAGGGTTGTTGACACGACTTAAAACTTTTACAGACGAACTTGGTCGTTTTGGTGGACTGCTTGTCTCTCCAAACTACAAAAAACGTAATACACATGGTAATCAAAACCAAATTATTCTTAAGCTGATACTGAGCTGCAGATTCGCAGTTCTTAATGAAAGTCATTGTGATTGGCTGGCCTGAACAATGGGTTCAATTGTCTATGCGTTCGAAACTAAGAAGTCCGCAGAAACATTGTTTAAAAAATATTCTCGTTATAAGGGGCACCTTGTGGACCGTAATTATGTGTTTACAATAATGGGTGCCCATTGGAAAGTCCACTTTCTATGGAACCAGGCTCTGGACCGGAGATTTACTTATGTGTTTCACGGGGTGTCCGTGGTAGCAGGCTTTACGGAAGGCGGGGGTCATTGACTATATAAGGTATTCATACCACTGTGCGTGAACTTTTTGATTGGCTCTGCGTGGTAGTAATCCGTCCTCTTGTCGTCTGTGGCCTGTCATGTTTATTCGACAGAGCAAACGGTCCAGGCTTCCTTATTGGAGAATGAGTTCCAGGACCGACCTGAAATATTTAAACCCGCCGAATAACTGGTTTGTTCTTTGCAAGAGAAAATCAGTATATGACACGTGACTCAATAAGCGTTACCTTGGTACCAGGTTTGGTAGTTTCAGAGCCTTCATGGTGGAGCGCTGTGACTTGGATTTGTGACATTCGCTTGTTGCTTCCACGACGTACATTTGTACCCTAAAATAATGTTCCATTCATGAAGCCATTTCTTGACGACGCAAAATACTCTTCATTCAGAATTTTATAGTTAACATAGTGTATAAGTGTTAATGAAGGTTTTTTTTCAATATTCATGAGTTGTCTCTTTCACTGATTACTGAGTTACCTACCGGAGAATTGTCTACAGTATCATACGAAGTACGTCGACTTTGAGTTGTTTCTTGGGTGTGTGTGTCATGGATAACGTCTTCTGGTTTTGTCTTMGGCTTAAGAGATCGATCTATCGGTGGAGGCCCAACCTTCTCAATATTAACCTTCTCCTTGATACTCGACACTGAACCTTTCTTAACCGACTGTTCTCTTTTCCTTTTCTCACTTTCCCTTTCTTTCAGTTTTTCAGTCTCTATTTTCTTTTTTTGAGATTCAGTTTCCTTTTTCTTAACGCTCTCTATTTCTCTTTTCTTCTTCACACTCTCAATTTCTTTCTTTTTCTTTTGACTTTCATTTAGTTTCGCTTTCTTTTTTATACTCTCCTTTTCTTCTTTCCGTCTTTGTTCCTCTAGTTTTTTGGCTTTTTGCTCTTGTTTCTTTCTTTCTTTTTCGGTTTCTTTTGCTTTCATCTCCTTCTTCTTTTTGTCTGCTGGTGTTTCTCTTGAAGGAATCGTTGGCTTCTCGTCACTCTAAAGATTGTTCAGATGATGTATGAATTGATAAATTGAACAAACAAACAATAGAACTATTCTGACAAATGATGATACGGTTTTCTATACTATCGCCAAAAAACACCTCCGACTCCATAAAATAAACAGTCTGAAGTATTGAATTATTGCATTTCGAATTTCCTCCACTCCACCTAAATCAATATTGCCTCTTGTTGGGGGTAGTTTTTTAGAATGGTGATTTTGATGATAGCGGAAGATTACAGTGCATCTGGGTCATTGTAGTGTTTCTTTATTGTCGCCCCTATTTTGAATCTCTCTTTATTTTCAAGTGAAATTGTATAATGTAATTTAGTTCAACCTGCCTTAACTATCTTTGCTATTTTCACTTTGATGGGTATATAAATTGTAAGCAATACAGTAAAATTAGCTAAAATTTTGAACTATCTGGTTATAAGATATGAAAATCAACTTGAATGATAGCAGGCATTTGGCAACGATATTAAAGTGACACGCGCGGCTGTTAAATTGAACAACTTTGCATGTTCAGTTATATATCTATCATAATGATGGTAATAAATAAGCTAATGGGCAAGAATTAAATTCTCATTTTAGTAGAATCTAAGTTAAATGCCTTCAAACGTACCGTAGCTTTCTGTGATTTCTTCTTCTTCTTCATTGGTACCGCATAGATATCTTCTCTGGGTTTTGGACGATCGACAACTTTAACTGGTATTTCTAGCATCTCGTTGTCTTTGAGCTAAGATTGTTGAACATTCAAAAGTCTTATAAATACATGTTTATACTTTCATAAAAACTATATTGATAAGTAATAGGATGCTCTGAATAATCATAGAGCGGATTTCGTATGAGTGGGAAACGGACGGTAATGTACTGTGACCGTAATCGTACTGTAACCAAATTCTAGTGCCCCATTGGTTCACCAAATTTTGTAGGCCAGGTCCGGTAACTGTGCGGTAACCGTGCGGTAACGGTGTCCCATTAATACGAAATCCGCTCTATAGAAAGACGATGTATCAATACCTTGAATTTCTTTTTCTCCATTCCCATGATGTCCACCCATGCTTTTCTGAAACGAGTGCCAACAAACGCCATTGTTTATCACAAAAAAAAAACAACATTACAATAGATTTCTGAACCTTTTACGTCACTATTTGATTTTCAATGCATTATGGGATCAGTTTCTGGAGAAAACAAAAGAAATCCGCCATGTTCTGTCCCAAAGATATCCTACAATGCATTGCGTATACGGTACATGACGTAAAAGCTTCAACTGTCTATTTTAAAACATTTCATTCAGTGAAGGGTTTTGGGCATCCTGTGTCAAGAAGGGGTATGGGAGGCTGGTAACATACCTTGCCTCGGGAGTCATATCTTTAATTCGCATTTTCACGACGCCATCTTGGATTTCCAGACCTTCACCTGACTTGCCTTCGACTGTCACGTCGCTTGCATATGGAGGGATGTCACTCTCGACAATCTCACGTATTATGATTGCTTTTTCTATCGGACCTGGTCGGATTGCCAAGTATCGACTGAAAATGATTTAAATAAGAATGATTTTGAGCAAAAATATTCAGTAATTGGAATGATTTGATATAATTTTTTTGATAAATAGGGAAGCTAAATCGTTAGACTCACTGCGGCTTTACTTCTTTGCTCACAAAGTCAACTTCCATATGTAGGAAATGTAGGAAGAATGTTTTCATCCGTACAATGAATACTTTAACTTGCGCTCACAAGTGTTTGAAAACTCTTGAATTAAATTCAGGTGCGGATGAGGGCATATTTGTATCCTCCAAAAAGAAATGTCAAACTGAACTCCAGGGTGAGCATGGTTAAGGACTATTATTTCAAAGGCTGCAACTTATAACAAACGAGCTAATGGTATATAACCTAAACGACGATGGTCGCCCTATTCTCGTATCCAGATCCTTCTCAGTCTCCCAACGGAAAAATCGAAGACTCTGGTTGGAAACGAATAATTTCTTGATTTCCATGCATCATATCGTACAACCCAGATTCTGGTTCTTCCGGCATCGTCTCCAGCYAGAGCCCTCAATTTTCTGTTGGGAAACTGAGAAGGATCTGGGTACGAGAATATGTGATCGCCCTTGATTGTCAATTATTACACCTATGTCATCATATTATCAACATACGGTTGTTGATGGCTGATGGTCTCTTCATCTTTCACTCTGACCAACAATTCCACGTTTCCGGTGTTAGTCTCATCAATGTAAACATCACGTGACGAACGCGTGATCGTGTGCCTTCTCTCTTCTTGACGATCAGTTGGCTGTTCGGTGGTCTGGACCCAAGTCCACGCAGTTGGTTTAGTGCCACCTTCATAAGTCGCCAGTATGGTACCTGTTTCCTCAGCCGACCCCTGAACTCCAAGTACTTTCTCGACTCCTTCTGTTTGGTTCTCATTCCACCATTTGTAGTGACCTTCAAAACGACAACAAAATGCCGATTGTTAACCGATGTATTGCCGATTTCTGCCCGACATTGTTCATAGATTTTAGGTCTCGTCTACACTGATGTAGCATTTTGTATGTTTGTTTGTTTTTATTTTGAGAACCAATCCTAGCCGAGGATAATTTGGAAACGTAACGAATTATAAACGAATATAATATAATTAAAGACAGTTACTTAAAAAATGGATTACCTATCGATAGATGTTTGTCAGCATCTTCGGCCGTAGGCGCATCCCACCAATCATCCGGGATTTTCTTATCTTTCATGAATGCACGCGTAAGGGTTCGCCGTTTCTCTGAAGGAGAAGGCTGCTGAGTGGCCTGGAGCCAAGCCCATTCAATGGGCTTTTCATCGCCTTGGTATTTTGCGATAATCGCTCCTGCAGCCCCAGTTTCTTTGTTGATGGCACGGACACCCAAGATATGGTCGACGCCCTCCGTTGTGTTTGCATTCCACCACTGCCAGTCACCTGTGCATAAGCAGTTGCTTAATATCAAAGGACTAACCGTCTATCCATGCAGTCGTATTTTACATTTTTCATGTATGGAAAATGAGGTGACTTCAATTCACCATCCATCGGTTTTACGATGGAATCTTCCATTTTTTTTTAATTCAAAGATCATAAAGGGGTACTAAAGAGTAAGTTATAATACGATGTATTCTTATCTTCAAAATCGTCTGGAATGAAATCTTCAGAAATGAAAAGAACGCCGGGTGGACGTGGCCTTTTAACATGTGATGCGCCAAAACAGGCATGGCATCATAGGGAAAAAGACAACTGGTTTACCTATACAAAGGAATCTGTCTGCGTCTTCAGCAGTTGGAGCATTCCACCATTCCATTTCCTTGTTCTCCCCTGACAGATTTATTTGCTTAGAAATGTGTAAACCAATATCAAGACCCTGCTGATCTTTAGCATTCCACATATTCTCAAGGTTAAGTTCTTCATGATGTATTGTAGGCCTTTGGGATAATTCATCTATTTCGACCTGTGAGATGAAAATTGGTGAATGGGAATGAAAAGAAAGAAAGTAACAAAAAGAAACTCAACAACTGAAAAGAAAAGGAAAGAGCATAGAAAGAGATAAAGGATCAATAAGGATCAATATATCAGTTGGCAAAAAAAAATCGAAAAAGGAAGGAAGAAAAGAAGCCCTAGGAAGATCAAGCAGAATAGTAGAATCAGGGGGAAAAACAAACAATCTCTCTCCTTATTTGATATCACAATTCGTTTCTTTATACCTCCTTATGTACGTAGTCCACTTCATCAAACTTGATATCTGGCTCATAACGCTTGCTTTTCACCTCATAGTTCTCTGGTTTTGGGAGTGCTTCGAKGTCTTTTGAGGGACGTCTGTTTCCATGCTCCTGAACGTACGTTTTAAGAGTCGTTTTATGCCTGTGTGAATAATTCAAATATAAATTCTCATTCATTTTATGTAGCAAATGAACGCGGTATCAAACTTACTTGTAATTCATAAGTTCATCAACGCTTTTGGTCAAGGCATCAATTTTGGCTCGCAGTCCGGCTATCCCAGATTTCGCGGGCGATTGCTTCGGTTTCTCCTTTCTTTCTGTGATCACTTCCTTCACGATGTTGACATTGGTATTGACATCAGTTCTATGAACCTTTGTTCTCACATTGGAGTCATCGCTAATACGAGTGACCTCGTCTTTCCTGGACTGTTTCTGGAAACTGGTAGCGTTTCCGCTGTCTTTAATATCAATGCCAGCTTTCTTGAGAATATCATCAAGTCTGGGGTTCTTTTCTTCTCGGTGATCCTCTGTGGATTTTGGGGCGTCATTTGGTCTTTGAACACTGGAGACATCGCTGGTTATTGCAGGTGGATATCGTTGTATACGCGTTGGTAAATCAGGTCTGCTTCCTCGACGGTTCGTTTCTTCGATCGCGTTTTGCCCACCTTGACGTACCTCTTCATGGTGCCTCGTCTCATCTTTTATCACTTCACCGTTGCGTGACATAAAAGTGTGCTCCATGTATGAGGTTCTTGTCGTCTCTGTCACACCACTATCTGTCACGTAATCAGACGACATTCCAGAGTCCCTTGGATCAGGATATTGACTCACAATCTCTCTTCCTCTCGGATTGTCAGGTTTGTACGGGTCTTGTGATCTACCATGAACAGCAATAGGCTTGTCATATTTATCTAGTGGATGACTATACTTGTCAGAAATGGGAATAGGACTGCCATGTCCTCTTGATGGTTTGAGCGCACTACTGTTCAGGTGATCGTAAATCGGCTCTTCGGTTGAGCCTCTTCGCTTATTGATAGCATTTTGATCAACGTGACGACCTTCATGTGATGGGTGTTGGGTCTGGTCACTACCTCTTCGCAGCTTATCGTATATTTCATGTGGTCCACCATCGGACGTTTTTGTCATGGATCCAGGCTTTAGCCCGCGCTCATAGCCATCTGGATGAGAGGAGGGATCACCTGATTTCATTGGTTGGTCATACATAGGTCCGTCATCATCAGTAGAAAACCTTCTATAGCGGAGTGCAGAGTGATCCAGTGACGTATAAGGGGTTTCATAACTGGCTGATTCATTATACCTGTCCAGTAACAGTACAAATGGCCGTCAGACAACAAGTTAATATTATCGGTATTCACGCAATGACAGTATGTAAAATGCCAGTGTTGATATGGACGAACGATAGTGATGGTAGGTAATGATTGGGATTAATGCATATTAATGAATAGTGACCATCATATAAAACAGTTATAATCATGATAAAACTTACAATATATGAAAATGTTTAAGTAACAACTTAATTATTTTGTTATATATACATTTAATTTCAAACTGATGATGACCGCCGTCAGTCACGTGAAAGACTTCCGCAAACGTCACCTACAGTTTATTATTTACAAAACTTAGTTAAGAAGATAGTTTTTATTATTTCAATAGCAGCCTATATAAGCGATAAAGAGGAAAGTTTCATTACCTTTGATTTCTTGTTGTAACACCTTGACGCACTGCCTCGTTTCCTGGTGCTAAACCATGTCGATCGGCATCATTAATAACGTGGCTTCCTATTTTTTGTGAGTTTTCGTCACCAGCGTCTCTGTTGTTCTTTGCTCCAAGATAAGATCCGTCTTTGTCGGAGCCTTCTCTGTCAACCTTTTTTGAGTTATTGAGATCTTTGCTCGTAATGGCATCAAGAACATCATCAAGATTTTTATCATGAGATTTCTTGTCCAGAATATTTTCTGACGAATATCGTCGCGTACTTTGTAGTAGTCGATCAATAGCATCTTGACGAGATTTCCTTTCGTCGCGTAACTCGGTGCTTAGTCTTTTTGAAATGCCACTAAGGTCWACAGACCTTCGATCTGCTTCACGACCAGGTTTTGAACTAGATACATCAGCACCATACTTGTACCTCGAGTTGTAATCCGTCTCCCTTGTAAGGCCAGGGGGGTTGGAATCAGCAGATGATTCTCTCTTTCTTTGAAGCAAGTCCTCGTAGCTTGAAGAAGACGGAAGATAGCTCATGGGTTTCCCACCAGACGAGTGATGCTTCACGTCATTTTCTTTACTGGTAACGTCTTTCTTGGCATTATCATCTTTAGATTCTTCTTTAATCCCTGTTAGTGGTGAATGATGGGACTTGAGATCTAATTCAGGCTCGCTTACATGCTTGGAAACACCTTTATATCGACTAGATTGAAGATATTTTTCTACTAAGGCGTCAGATCTTGAGAATCGGTCCTCCTGAGGAACATGGAGATCATCCCGATTACCGGGCCTGTCATGAAGGATACCTCGGGTATGCAGTCGAGAATCAGACCCACTGAGAGCACTAGATAAAACATTGTTTTTGGATGAGTCTCCGATGATATCTTCTTTAGATCTCGAAAGCTCTCTGGAGTATTGGAAGCTCGACTGTGAACTTGCACCCTGGTTAGACGATGTAATGTCTTCTTTGGAGCTCGATAAATCACTAGAATACCTGCCTGAACGAAGACCTAAATTTTTGTCCCTTTCATCAGCCAGAAGCCCATTCCTTGATAGAGGTTCGCTCTTTCTAGAAGAGCCTATAATGTCCTCTCTCGATCTTGATATCCCACTGGTATATCTGCTGGAGTAAAGAGCTGAATCACGGGTACTTCCATACCTTAATAAAGGATCTTCAGAAGACGTTATGTTTTCATTGGACCTTGATAACTTACTGGAATACTTGAATTCATTGCTGCCACTATAGCTGGGGTTCGAACCTTTATTATTTGCATTGGCAAGGTGACCATGTTCACCTTGTGAATTAGATGGGACACTGGAAAGATCAGTATTTTTCCCTCTTGCCTCTGCAAGAAGATTTCCTCTGGATAAGGGATCATCATCATTGGAAGACTTGTAATGGGATACACGACTTGAGTCGTAAGACGCTTTATCGCTGTCTTTGGGATTACTCTCAGAACTTTTCGAGTACTCACTTTGCATAACACCATGCTTCCCTGTACCAACAATATTTCCAGTCAAACTTTGCCTATGCATCTGGAGACGATCACCTTCGACTTTCTGCCTCTCTTTGAATGATTGGATATCTTCATATTGGAATCCAATATCTGTTGGTTTTGGCCTGTCGACCCGCCGAGGAAGATCATCATAATTAGAGGAACTAGTATTGTAGGAGTCGGCTACCATTGATGATCCTATCGCTCCACTTGTCCTAGAATTCAAAATGTCGGCAATCGCCATATCGTCGTCTTTCTTCCCTTCTTCGCTGGAGTATCCCGAGCTTTTCGTGGATGACACACTGGACTTTTTAACGCTTTGCGTAACACTCCGAGTAACCCCAGATTTTACAGAAACATTTTCATGGTGTTGCAAGTCCGAAATGTGGTTTTGGCTTGTTGTACTCAATTGGCCAGGGATGTAGGACGAGGAAAAGTCACTGGCATATTCACCCTTGCTCTTCTTGGGCGATGAGTGGCTCAGTTCCAAGTCGCGGTATTTACGGTCGTAGTAGGACATTGTGATGAAGAAGACAGTTGTTTATTTTAAGAGAAACGTTCTTTTGCCAAAGATCTATAAGTTTAATTACAGAAGGGATAAGAATTGCAAGAATTTAATTACTGTTGTAGTAGACTATCTTATACTCATATTGCGCACATTCATGTCCATTCAAGTCGAAATCGAGAACGGAAAAGATCACTTGCATTTCAGGAAAGAATTCCTAACAGAATCAGCTGAATGAGACGGTCTGATTCTCTGCACAATCCTAATGGCGGTGACATGGATGCCACATTTTATCAAAAGGTATATTCACGATGTTTTCTTGTCGGATCTGTGAAAATTCACAATTCAAAAAGGTGAATTGCATGAAAATGATTCTCTGCCCAAAATAGATGTAAAACCGTCAACACCAGTGCCATTTTGTATACATATTTGTGTTTAATTGCCTAAATGTTTACACTGAAAGGTTCAGCTTACAATAAAATGTTTGGAAATAGATTCCAGTCATTCTGGAAACTGAATCAAACAAGAATACTAGAAAATTTTTCGGTATTCAAAATAAAAAGGTACACTGCTTTTTTCTCTATTATGATGCGGAAAGCCATTGTATTCAACTCATGTTTTCCAAACTCGAAGTAATATCATTGTCGGCCGCGCATGTTACTTTTATATGAAAAATAACATAAAGCCTCGTCTTAACCAAAAATAAATATGCCATTATTGAAGAACTGACAATCTGGTTGACATGCCAATTGGAACATTGGAAATGACTTATTGTGGACAACCTTTTCAAGATCGGCTGCATATCAGCAGACTAGATGGTAATCAGAAACTTGTAAGACGGTCAATCATGATCGCTACAAATTTCACCAAATTTTAAGCTTAAACATAAAGTAGTTTTAATCAACTTACCTTCACTTTATAGAAATGTCAAGTTTTCATGTTGCACAGACAACTAGTTGCCATTCTATTGTGAAGACATTGCCACTTCGTCTCACTATGGCCAAAACTAGACGTGCCTGAACTCTTCTCGCTCCAAAGAACTTCTGTAAAATAACAGTTCCCATTTAAGGTTTGTGCGACTTATACTATGTATTGTTTATCAAGTGCTACCATATACTACAACGAGATATTGGACCTCTTAGTATAGCCTTGAAACTACACAATAAATCATGTTTTAGTTACGTTTTGGGACTTATTAGGAAAACAGCGTTGTAACATAAAGTCAACGTATGCTATTTTAAGTCAATGATTTTAAGAATGAAAATCGAACTAGGTTTTTTCTAGTTTAATGTACAATGGAAATTAAAATTAATGTTTAAAACATTTGAAATAGTAAATGTTAAACAAAATTACATAAATATAACTATCATAATTACAAAAAATTTAATATTGATATCAAAAAAATATGCAATATAATTGTTATAAAATGGTACGTTATTGACTAAATATTCGAAATGTATGAAACAGGCTCATTGTGGTTTTGTAACAATGAAATTAAATACTACATAGAGACGAATCGACTGATTTTATATAAAAGGTACATAGCCGCTTTGTTTAACATAATGACAAAGCATTTCTTCCAACTTACCTCTTAAAATGTGGTAGAATATAAGCCGTAAGAGCTCTGTCTATAACACTGTCGAAACACTGCGTGAATTACCAAGTCTCTAGCTGAAATACTTGAGTTCCAGTTGCGTCTATCTCGTTTTGTGCTTGCTCAACCATGTTCAAAATGTCCAATTTATTTTCCATGGTTCGATTAATGGGATAATCTTCTATACTGGACTTTTGGATCGATCGTTTGCATGACTATGCCAAAGAACCTTTTAGTGTCCTTTAATATTTGGAGGGATAACTTTCTCGTAATTAACCCTTTGCCACATTGACTGCGCATTTTTATCACATTACAAAATGAAAGCTGAAAAAGGATACTTTGAAGTTCTGCAAAAATCTAGTAGTTTATAGAAAAACCTTAGATATTTTTATAGTTACAGATAATGTATATACAGCCCTTTGCAAAAATTATGAGAATTGTCTAAATATCTAAATATCATAATATCCATATCCATATATTGTCCGGAACACGCGGGTTTGCTAGAATAATTCATTGTTGACATCAAGAAAATGTTCAGAACTACGGATAAGTCCGTCGCCAAAAAAAAACCTAAACTACAAAGACAAGGGGCTAAGGGCATCGCGCGGGATTACCCATCATGCACTTGATATTATGATATTTAGATATTTCAACAATTCTCATAATTTTTGCAAAAGGCTGTATTTGGTTAGGTATATTTATATATATAAAAATGTCTCATAATTTGTGCAAAAGGCTGTA